CCGCGGAAACGACCGGAGAATAAGAAAGTGAGAGCGCAAACCAAATACGTAAGCACTTACGCGCTGCACGCACCATTACTGACCGTGGGCTGCGCTACGTGCCACGTGAACTAAGCAAATTATGTAAAGAATACACCGACGGAGACGAGCGACGACAGCCAGGCAGACGTCGGCGGTTAAAAGTGTGTCGAGTGCGATTTTAGCAGTATTTACGTGCGATGCAAATAAGTATTATCGATTCGCTCGACGTAACTCTCGGCCCCTTCGCGTGAGACTTTGGATCGAAAGTTTTTGTCCGGCGGACACGGTCAACTATCACAACTTCTCCTCGTTTCGTTTTTGCGAGACTTGCGAGCGGGAATAAATGCTAACTCGGCCATTCGCCGACGTATGCGCACGTATAGACGCGTAAACCAAAGAGGAATGCCGAGGTGATATCGACTTCTCAGGGAGCGAACGCACGATGTGGTATTAATCACGCGTCGTGTCTTAATATGCCCGGTTCGTACATAAACTTGAGTCGCTGCAACCGGCTGCCGACTGCCGCCGCCGCTGGATCATGTCGATTTTTGCGAGCTAACGTGGCGTATATTATTAAATCTCTAAGCGTTCTCCGCAATGGCGGGCGGCACACGATCTGCCGCATGGACGTAGCAATATCTGCACGGAGCATATTTCCGCGGGGTTGAAGCTTAAGAGAAAAGGGGGGATATGATCTACCAAGATGGCGGATTTGGTTAGATGGCATACAAGTGTGTAGATGCTTGATTAATGTGCGTGAGTTTGGGATGATTTTAATGTAGGTATTGAGTTAAATATGGAGGAGTCAGATAGAGGAAATTATGTAGAAATAAGTGCGTAGATAGTGAGTATAAGTGTGTGTATAAGTGAAGGCGGAACAAGGCATTAGAGAAGCAGGATTCAGGAAAAAGTGCGTAGGTAATAGAGATCATGGCGTCGAATAAGGAACGGATAGTTAGGGTAGTGTGAGTAATGCGGGCAAGCTTAAATTAGTGTATGGTAATGTAGAAAAGATTATCTCTCTCAATAGAGGAAATGTGCGATAGGTGATAATAGAAGACAAAAGTATACAAGGATTGGAGAAAGAAGAAGATACAAAAAAGTGAAGAGGTAAAGTTTGGTGGAAAAGTGAAGAGGAAAAGTTTGGTGGTTCATCGGATGGAATAAGGAAACAAAGATATGCGGAAGAAGGATGACACAAGGACTGATAGGACAGGTGCTGTACAAGTAAAAAGATTAAAGTACAAAGAATAAGAGAGAAGGTTATGGGATATAGAAAACTCCTTCTTGGCGATGTAAGTTGAAGAAGAAGATATACAAGAAGTGAAGAAAAAAGTAGAGGAATTACTTTATGAAGTTAGTAGGAAATGTAGAATGTAGTAATGAAACTAACAAGATATGGGAGAAAATTAGGGAGAAAAGAGGATGAAGAAAAGAAATAAGGAAAGTAATAAAGAGATCGGATAGGAACAGGGGAAAGATAAAGAGATAAGTATGTACAGCTGAAAGTAAAGACAAAGTTTGAAATATGGTGTATGAGGACGATATAGTTGAATAATTATAAACCAACTCCCCTTCTTGGCTATGTAAGCTAAAAGAAAATATATTGATACTGATCAACCAAAATAGTAGCGACACGACGACATTGTCTCCGTTCTAATTGTATGTTATTTTTTCGTTTTACGGTTTTTCTATTTTTACAGACTTTCGCGTCAAGCATATTATAGGCATATTGTAGGAGAAAAATGGGACACTTTAATGCAGACATCGCTTTTGTTTACGGAATACATAATCTCGAAACACAAATATCTCGGTTAGAATCACTCCGCGCGACTGCGCGACGACTTGAAAATATATCTAAGTCTGCATATATCATGTGTTATATGTATGGTAATTTTGATCAAGCAAGATGGCCGCAACGGATATTATTCCTCACCCCTGAAGTTTCATATACCGCAGGAGTACCTTGTGCTCCATCCGGATATTCCTACGTTCATCACCTGCAGTTTCTCCTCTAAATCTCTAAAGCAAGCGTAAAAGAAATGTTTATATTATACTCATATCTCCGCTCAGTTTACAACGTATCCGAGCGCTCGTCGAAATCCGAGAGGGTCTCTCCGAGTCGTCTCCTGTCTCCAAGCGTTTCCTCGTAAAGCGGAGTTTTATGAGACTTTGCAGCGCTGGGGAAAAAGGAGCCACCAATACCGCCCCGATAACGACAACTTTTTCGCGACGAAGATGCGAACGTCGCGAGAGAGAGAGAGAGAGAGAGAGAGAGAGAGAGAGAGAGAGAGAGAGAGAGAGAGAGAGAGAGAGAGAG